CCAGAAAGAAAATATTTTTTGAGATGTAGCTTTGGGGTTCCATATTAATCTGCAGAGTAGTATGAGGGGCTAAATAATTGCTAAACCTTGCTCCTGTGATCGTGACAGATTTTTCGTTTGTAAGTACCCCAAAATCCAAATTCTGATTGCTTAGGCTCTCACAGGTGAGGCCCTTCTATTTGTTGATGTTTGCTGATTGCCCAGGCTTGAAACCTAGGAGTGGTTTTTTGCGGCTTCCATCTCCTTTCTGCCGGGACAGTGGCCCTCTTCCGTTTTTTGCAGCACGCCCTCGCGACGGCGATTTACCCGCCTTCGTGGGGTGGCACTGTGCAAGTTGTTCAGGGTTCGTTGCTCAGCTCTTTGAGGCCGAATCGATTCGGCCCCCTTGAAGCCAAAATGAGATGGCTTAAACCATGGGTGTTCACACATACGTTTGGTGGTTGTTGTCCTTTAGGCCTCTGGCCGACTCGCCCAACCCCGGCCGGCAAAAACCGAATTTCGGCAGCACAGACAAATGAGCTTGAATCCGCTCGAGTGAAAGCCCAGGAAGGTCGCTTACTTGAAAGCTGTGGCTTGTAAATTAGAGATTTGGGGCAAATGTTGTCTCACTCCCCGAGTTCCTGGTTACTATTGTTTGGCCAGTTCACTCAAGGATGGGCCAAGAACTTACCTCATTTGCAAACATTTTGGCATCAGTGTACTTGCGGACAAGAAGGCTGATTCTTTTCTCTGACAAATTCACTTAAGGAGGAGCAAGGTTTCCCTAGGCCGCCTTTTGCTTGCAAAAGTTAATGAACGCGTATTTACTCCTGGGGCTTACTGCGGGGGCAATTGCACAGCAGAACAAGCCCAGGCAGTAGCTGGTTTTTGTTTTCCTGGGATCACTTTGTATTCCCCAAACTCTGGATTTCACCCTCTTTCAGCACTCTTTTGATTGCCAGGCTTACCTAACATGCTTGCCCGCTTGCCCTTTTGGATTTGGATTTCTTTCATTTCCCTTGTGACGAGCAACAAGTTGACTTTGCGCAGGCCCGGATCCCAGGTACCGAGTTTCTGTTTGCACTGCGTATTCCCGGTTGCTCCGTGGTTTCCTGCCTCTAGTCCCTTTTTGCTTGGGTTTCCTGCCCCAAAAGCCGTATCCTTTTTGCGAGCAAGATGACCCACGCGGCGAGACCCCCGCTCATCCTTGGCCTTGTGGTTGCTTTCTTGCCTTCGCGATCAGTTCATGGGGGCTGGATACTTGGAGCGTGTGTGTCTTTAATGGGGCTGAGTGACACATGTCGTTCTCTGGTTGGGCTACCCCACACCAAGCAGGCTGAAGGTGCAGCATGTGACCTTCTTTTCTGGGGCTCACGGGCCGCCAAGCCGAGTCGGGGAGACTAGACCGCCAGAGAAAAAGAGTTTGCCGAACGCGAGCCTTGCCGGGGTGGCGCTTAGTGTAAACCATCAGGCACGCTGCGGCCCCTTTGAAAAGGGCGTTTTAGACAAACCATGGTTTAAACAAGAGGTTGGCCCGACCCAAGCCAAACAACTCTTTTTTGACAATAGCTGTGTAAATCATGGTTTAAACACGGGGTTGGCCCAGCCAAAGCCAAGCACCGCTTTAGACAATAGCCGGTTACCGGCCCAACCAAAACCAAACACCGCTTTAGACAATAGCTGTTTACACCATGGTTTGAACAAGGGGTTGGCTCAACCAAAACCAAACCACACTTTAGACAATAGCTGTTTGAACAAGGGTTTAAAGAAGGGCTTGGCCCAACCAAAAGCAAACAACGGTTTTAGACACTAGCTGTTTCAACCATGCTGAAAGCAAGGGGTTGGCCCAACCGACACCAAACAGAGCTGCTTAGAAAATAGCTGCTTAAAACATGGTTTAGACAAGGGCTTGAGGCCAAACACCATAATTTGGACTTTACAAGAAGTAGCTGTTCAAACCACGGTTCGAACAAGGGTTGGCCCGACCAACACCAATCAGCGGTGTTTAGACAATAGCTGTTTCAACAATGGCTTAAATGAAGGCTTGGCCCAACCAGCAAGGGGCACCCGCGTTTGGGGAGTCTAGACAGGGGGGGTCCTCACATTGTCTCTCAGGTGGTGTGAACATTACCTTTTCACAACGTTGATTGAGCCCTGGGCGTACAGAAGCGGTGAGGGCCGTTGGGCCGGTTGCTCGCGATCTCCACCCCGTTTACGCCCAGACCCACCGGGGGTCCCTTTTCAGGGCTCGTCCTGGCGCTTTTTTGAATTTGGGTTACCTATTTTGCTTGAGAAGGGCGGAGCTCTTGCGGAATGAATTCCCATGTCTTGCGTTTTTGTGGGTAAAAAGACATGTGGATTCTTCCGTCTTCCCACATCCTCATTCTTCATTTGCTGAAATATCTAGCTGTGATTGTCCCAATCACTCTTGGACATATGCCGATTATATGTTCTCATTTTTGTCCAGGGGACGTACCCAAGCAAATGGAGGTCATCCAAGCCAGCAGCAAGTCCTGTCCAGGAGCCCCAGCTTCTCCAAAGCAGCCCAGAGGATGAGGGCTTCGTGGCGATCCTGCAGCCCCGCCGGCCTCAGGCAGGACATTTTTCGTTGGCCCATGGAGCAAGGCGTGCCATGGCGCAAGGCGGCCCTCACTCCCTGAGTTCCGTTTGGGTCTTTAGCCCCCCACTTTTTGGCTGGTTGGACCGTTTTTTGGTGGTTCCACGAAGGCCACTAAAAGACCACTTCCCGATCAAGTAAGTCAGGTGGGTGGGACTGAACGCGTGCTTTTTGAGCAAATGGAAACGAACCTCCGGACCACCAAGCCAAAATGCCACCTAGAGGGAATCTGACACAACCAACCAAGTTGATAATAGCAGTGGGCTACCAGGCACCGCAGTGTCAAAGACACACATCGTATGTGATGCAAGGTCAAGTCAGGGACATATTTGGCGTGAAGAACATGATTTGCGCATGACACTTTGGTTGTTGGTTCGTGCGCAGGCCCCCGCATCAGGCCAAGTTACCCAAAGAGCCCAGGCTAAGCCGCGCGTGTCGGAAGGCAACCCTTGACGGCTGGGTCAAAATGTCGACCCGGAACCAGGGTGTCTATCGTGTGGTTTCCCGGGTCCCCTTAGCCCCCCGCACGCACACCCCAAAATTCACCAAGCCGACTTCATTGGCCCTGCCAAGGGTACGTAATTCTTACTTTTCCCTTGCCCATGTTTCATGCGTCAGGGCCGCCAATGAGATATTATGACTCCGGCGCTTCACAACTCTGATGCCAACCCTAAACCCAACGCATAGACCCACCGTATCTCATTGGCAGCCCTCAATGTCTTTCATAACTCTTGGTGCCTCATTAACTCTGATGCCAACCCCGTTACGGGTAACCATCTTTCCACTTCGTTTCAATGTGTTTGAAGTGCTTCTGCTTTGCATGTTTGTTTGTTGTTGTTGTGTTAACCCTAAACCCTAAAGCCTAAACCCTATACCCTACACCCTATACCCTATACCCTACATCCTAACCCTAAACCCTGAAACCGAAACCGGGTGGATCCTTGGATTCCTCCTCCACCCCCCCCCCCCTTCACCTTGGAGGACGGCGCGCGCATCCTTGAGAAGCTGGTGGATGAGTCGGGTCTGGGCCCTGGTTGACGAACGTGGGTTCAACAGCAGGGCTCCTTAAAAGATACAGTTTGCCCATTTGAAACATGGCTCTTTCCACCAACATAAAGGGAAACCACCATTTACGAGGCAATGTTCAGGTGTATAATGTATGGATCCCTGAACAGGTTGGTAAGAGCCTCACTCCCTGATGTCCTAGACTTCAGTCACTTCTTGGGAAGACCATTCTAGTGGTAAGCAAAAAAGTGTGGACGTTTTTGGCCCATCCACTCAGGAAGTGAGGAACTCATCCTGAAATAGAATGGGAGCAATGTGTTGACTATTTTTTACATATGCCAGCACACTAAGATCAAATGGCTGCTTTGTTTGTAACATTTAATTTAAGGAATCAACCGTGCAGACATGTCTGATGGCAACAAATGGTTGAACCAGCTTCATCTGTACACATCCGAGGATGTTTTGTGGACGACTTAGTAAAGTGTAGATGAGATGACATGGCCTTTAGTTGTCAAGGTGTTTGGTGACTACAGGCACCTCCGGAAAAGGTGCGAGAGACACCAAGCCATGTTTGGCGAGAGGGTCATGTTTGGTCATGATTTCACCCTGGTTTTTCTGTTTGGCAGTCGGCATTCGGCCAGCAGAGATAAAACGGGGTGCTCGGCTACTTTGAAGTAAATTAGGTCATGATCGCAGGAGAATGACCCGTGCAATGATCGAGCCCCCTGTATTTGTTTGTTTGGCTTTGTAACTTTTGGCTTGTGGATGGGGTGCCCTTTCAAGCCAAGTGGGGCGGAGAGGCGTGAGACATTGGCTCGCCGCTGACTTTGAATGAGCTTCCTGTATTAGTGGCTTGTTTTTACATCCCTATTCTGGGACGACTAGCGGCATCTGCTCGAGGATGCTGGAGAAAGACAGAGAGATAGAGAGAGAGAGAGAGAGTGCGCGAGAGAGAGAGAGAGAGAGAGCGAGAGAGAGAGAGAGAGAGAGAGAGAGAGAGAGTGGCATGAGACAGTTCTCGCTTGTCCAAAGCAGCCCTTTTGACCTTTTTGGTTCTCCAATTTTGGGAACCATTTTAGTCATGGCCCAGAAGGTCAACCTTTTTTTCCAGGTCCCTAATTAAGGGGCAACTGAGTTTTCCCCGTGAAACAGCGGTTCGTTCCAAAAGGACAGTTGGGGAACTCACCTGGAATTTGCAACCCCACACTATGAATATTGGGAAACACCACCTAGTTCGCTCAAGATGTTTTTTGTCCCAAAGCAGTTCCAGAAGGCCGTCTCCCCATTTCGAATCACAAAATCAGTCAGGCGACTCGCTTGGGGAAGCGAGTAATCTCAACAGCTGGAAGCTAGGGGCTCTGCCCAGAAGGCTCTGGGGTGGTTTGGGGCAGCTTTCAGGGAGTTCTGTAGGGTTCCAAAAGGGTTCAGGGCTGTGGTTGGGATACCAGCTGGGCTTATTTTGGCCATATGTGGCAGCTAGGTGTCATTTTCTCGTATAGCCTCAACTCGAGGCTATGCCGCCAGGCAGCCGGCCGCGGCTGCATGTTCGCAGCCTGGCTGAAAGCGAATCACCGGATGCGCAGTAAAAGCCTTAACCCTATGAGTCCTGGGCTCATAGGCGTGAGCTCCTCCAAATCCAAGCTTGTATCCGTTTGGGCAGGAAGACTTGCAAAAAATGCGGTGGAAACAAAGACAGATATGGTTGGCCGGTTAGCAACTATGAATACTAAAACCTAAGACTGCTTCTTAGTTAGATTATTGTTGTCCTCGTTTTTTTTTGTTGCCGTTCAATACCCTCACCTTGGCCTAGTAACGGATTTATTGTTAGTAACATTAGTAACTTTGGTTCTGAGGGTCTACCGGTCCAACCAGACCAATTCGGATCCTACCACCAAGTCGTTCACAGTGCAAACAGGGGCAAACCAACTTTCTGAGCTCTTTCCTCCCCTAGTATGCAACGAAAACGCATCATTTTCGGCGGAATCTCTCGGCTCGCATCTCTTGGCCTCCCGTCGGATCTGTTTCGTGTGTGGGTTTGCTTGCGCGCTGCTGAAGCGTGGCCCATGTACCCATCATGCATCCAGGCAACCCTACCTCAAAGTTTCGGCTTATGGCGGCATGATGGTTCTCAACGAGCCATTGAGAGATTTGAAGGCCTCAACCCCGCCAGCAATCCAATTGGCATCCCAGTTTTCTTTGGCCCCCCAAGTTGTCTTGTATTTCATCCTGTTTTTAAATCGACCTTTCAACAACCTGATTGGCTTCCTCTGTTTGGCATTTCGATTCGCGCCGAAAGGCTTGTTCAGAGGCATGGCAAGTGGGGAGCAAGCGGACACCTGGAATTTGCCGCAATCGGCCAGCCCATTGTTCACTCGCAACATTCAAGGGACCCGCACTATATCAAGAGGGGCCGCCAGGGTCAAGTTTTGTGACATCATCCTCCAAATCCAAGCTCAAAAAACTTGCGGAGAGGCGTCCATGGGTTTGCGGGGATGTGGAGGGAAGAGCCTCCGGGGAAATAGGCACCATGCTGGGCATGGAATTTTCAAGGGTAGCGACTGGAGATCATGCCCCTGAAGGTACGATCCAGAGGAGTTAAGGAGGTAACGAACGAAGGGAACTGAGGGCTCAATGAGCCCCTAAGACTGACGTGCCACGTGTCTGCTTTGGCGTCTGGTCTAGGGTTGTCTTGGGAATCGAGCACGCGCGATTGGAAGACTTGATCCAGAGTCTTCGACCAGGGCATCTTCGAAGGGTGCTTAGTAAGTGGTTGGCAAGCCTGGTTATAACCCACATAGGATAACCATGCAGATTACCCACTTACTAAGTACAATGGCCCTTTCAGTACGGCTTCCCTGTGCAGGCCGCGTTGCTCCGAGTGTCCTCTCGGGGCCGGGGCCGGACGCGGCCTCCGGCCAAAGAACCAGACCCGCGGAACGGAGGGACTGGACGAACCATCCTAACAGGACCTTCAACTTCCAGCTATCAGATCTCGCGGTCAACCGGGGCAGCGGAATCTAGGTTTGATGAGCTGTCAACATCACTTCTTTTGGTAATTTCAACTGCGCTGTGTTTGGGAGGGTGCTCATGTTGTTCCCCCGCCCCCCTTTTGCAGCTCGGATGTGCCATGGTCAAAGGACCCAAGTTTGCTTAATCATGGCGCAATTGCAAATGCGCGAGCGTGCGGGTTCTCTCTCCGCGCGCCTAGGTTTGTGAGTGGCAACTGCGGCCCGTCATGGGCCAAGCGACGGCGGACCGAAGCGTGAGGAAAAAATGGGTGGGTGGCTGCAAACCCGGTCGGCTGGGGCAGGAAAACAGGAAGCATCAAACGTAGGGGTCCATCAGGTTTAGAATATGTTGATTTCCCAAACGTTCAAACTACTTGGATTTGGCGGAGGCGGCCTTTGCTTGTTGAGCTCGAGAGTCGTTACTTGCTTCTGACCGGAGGCAGTGAAACAGCAGGGTCCTTTCAGCTATTCACTTTAGTTGCAACCCTTACTAAACGGCGGCCACTCCTGATGAGTACGGTCCTTTGGGGTAATCCCGCAGTCAACTTCACTTGACGCAGCTCCTTTCATGTCGGTACAGGGGACAATCCGATCTGGCCGCGAAGTCGCCTATGCCCAACTCAAGCCACAAGGGGCGGACATGTGCTTCTCCGGAAAAGTCGAGAGTGACCTCGTGCGTGAGTGCTTGGTAGTTTGATTTGAACTTGTTCAGGCCACTTGTTCAGGCACTTTGCCCTGTCTTAGGGCGTCTTAGGGTCACTGGATTTCCCTTCACAAGTCAATTCACCGGTGGGTTTCTGCAGTTTCCACTGAAACAATCGTCACTTTCGAAGGTTCCACAGGGTCACAAGGCTCGGAACCCTCAAGCAGATCGCCCCAAGGCCGTTCCGGACTTAGTTTGTGGAAACAAGGGGAGGGGAGGATTTGTGGGTCGGATCGTGCGATGAATGCTGGGAGGCATTTCGCTTTGAACTAAAATGATGAGAGGAAAGATGTTGAATCCTAGGTTGAGAGTTCAACATTGGCCAGGTCATGTCCTTATCGGTGGCAAACCAGCTCTGAGCAACACCGTGTTTCTTTAAACCAAGAGAACATGCAAGGATCAAAGTCTCCAGCAATGCTTGGCTCCCCCGTTAGGGTTTTATGCGCTTAACGTTTTGCTGGCTGTTGTACATGGGTCGTGTCCAACAGGTGCAAATCCGGCCGTGAAGCTGAAAGCAGGCAAAGCCCTCGAAAGCTGTTGCTTTTCGCACCTATGTGGAGTTTTCAAACCACAACTGGGGGAGGTTCTCCGACTTCTGCCCAGTCCGCCCGCGCAAATCGCCACCCGGAATTTGCAGCGTGCATCCCGCAGCTTCTACCTATCCATTTGCTTGAGAAATCAACGCCTTATGCCACGCCTGATGCCCAGGCGGGTCTGTTTCTTGGGAAGGGGGTGGTCCTCCGTGCTCGCCCCACAAAACCAAAAAAAACACGGCCCAAGAACAAGGCGAAAAACGCCGATTCGGCGCCCGCCCCGATGCTGATGGAAGCTGCTTTCTTTTGCAGGGTTCCCTATGCGTTTCCCTATGCATTTCGCAAGCTCTGCTGGGTGTGTGTGTGTGTGATGTATACTGGGGTGATATAGGGAACCCTTTGTTGCCTAATTGATTTGGGATTCGGCCTGACAAGATCCGTGCTCAACTTCGCAGCCCTCGTTGCAAGGGTTTGAATGGTGGCTTCACTCCTGCATATTCACGTGGAACCCTCAAACCTTCATGTTAAGAGGGACTTTCTTCCCCTTTGTCTTCACCTCCTTGTCGGGATTATTCAATATCAGATTGGCTAAGCCTCCCGGACAGAGAAGCCTCGCTGCATGTTGAACAGCGATGTTCGTTCATGGTGCAACCCGATTCTCAGCCCAAATCATGGAAAATCACTTAGAGAGTAGTTTTTCATGGTTTATGGATATTCGACTGGCAACCCAGCCCTGTTTATGGATCCAGCGGTTTCGCTCAAGTTGGCGCAACAAGCCATATACGTTTTCTCGGAGGAGCAGGGGGACAGGCCGTTGTTTTGCGTAGAATCCCTCTGGGTGTGACACGAATCATTTGAAAGTTGCGAGGCTTAGCTGCCTCTGTGACAGCTTGTCAAGGCGGTGTTGCATGAGCACTGAGGATTAACAAGCCTCCTAGTGAATTAACAAGGGCAGCACCCCATGTTGGCAGTTCGGATCACGCATGCATGAGTTGCACCCCCATGTCAATCTGCAACAGCACGTAGTTCGACAAGACGATGCGAAGTGGTGAAAGTATATAACTAATTAAAGGACAGGGGGCTAAATCCACCTGAACCCGGCCACTTCAATACTAGAAGAATACTGACAGAACCCGGCCACTTCCACCTGGTCGAAGAGGTGCCATGTCCAACGATTCCACCTGAGAACAAACGTGCATGTAGGGAAGTTAACTGAAATGGATCATCCCCTCACCGGAAAGAGGATTTGTCCATCCGATGACCATCCTGCCGATTAACCTGGAACCCAACAAGCTGTTGTTTTGCTCCTTTTGGATTCCCCCCTTTCGGAGTTCCATGTTAATCTGCAGGGCAGCTTCTGTGGCAATTCAAGTTGCTCGCCTGCGGTGTTTTTGTTTCGGAAGAGATGAACTGTTCTCCGCACGGCATACTAATAACAAAGAGGCTCCCTCCGAATACAAGTACTCGCGCAGCACGTGCAATAGGGAGTCAGGGGTTTCTGCTAATTGCGGTCTTCCTCCAAACGGGGCCCCTTGTTCAGCCAAAACTCGTTCAAGTTGCAATTTCCGAGTAGGGAATTTACAGAGCGGACGCCAATGTAATTTTGCGGGCAACTGGGAGAAAGCTCCTTTTAACTGGTGCAGGATTCTGTCCACCATATTTCAGGTCTTGTATTCCCCCAGGTTGGGCCCAAAAAAACGAAGCATGTCCCTCAGAGTTCCCGTGTTTTTTTTTGGAATGTCGGGCTCTCAAACCAAGCCTAGGGGAGATGTACGTCGGCAAGTTTGGGGCATCCAACTTTTTAAGGGTCGCTGGGTCCAGGAGCTCTTCGACCGTCTCACTCCCGTTGGTGGACTTTAGTCACTTGGGGAGAACCATGTCAGTGGCGAACGAACAGCGAGGGGACCAATCCACTCAAGTGAGAGCCGCTGAGTTCTCACTTCCTGAGTTCCGGACTTTAGTCACCTTTCGGGGTTGGACCATTTTGGTGGTAAATAACAAGTCTCAGGACTTGTGTAGGCCCATACACTCGGGCCACACTTTTTTCTTGCTGGTGCTCAGTAGGGAATGTGGGAATGCACCCAGGGGTTCCCTTACAGGAAACCATAGGGGATGGTTTTTCTTGGGGTCAGTCCATTTCTCATTCGCGTCCCGCCCTTGTACCCTTTTTTGGCGGAGGGTTCCCCTACTAAAATAGACTGCAGCAAAAAGTTGGTGCCCTTATTCTAACCTCTCAAATCTGGCGGACCCAGATGTTCATTACCCACTTACCTGACTCATCCCCGAGTCGATCGCCCCAACCATGGGTCACTGACTGGCAATCCCTGCCTTTCGAAGCCGCAATTTGAATCGGGCAATCCTTTCTGGCGATTAAGCGTTCTAATTGGGATGGGATTGGTAAACCCGTTGGTTCGGATGGGATGAAGCGATAGAGGTCTCCTCTTTCTGGCGATTTGAGTGGACACGCCAGGTGCCCCAAATGAGCGCCGGGCAGCCGGTCGCGCCGATCGCGGATGTGGCTTTGGCTCTTCGCCGGTGGCTCAGTGGGTCGGCTTCATACCGGGGGGGGGGTGGGCCAAGGAAACGGAAAAAAACAACCAAGGTGTATTTCATGGTAACGTGCATAGGTGTCCTTTTTGGTTGTTCTGGTAGAAAAATAGACGGCTCTGGTCTACCTGGTGGTTTCATCATCTACCAGGGCCATCTATTTGCCCTAAAGGACACCTAGGGTAACGTGGTGATTGATGTATTTGCACCCCTTGATTCTGTGATCCTTTGTGTGGCCCAGGTGGGAACCAACCCGAATAACACAACTACTTGCTGACTTGCGACTATTGGCAAAAAGATGGCCTTGCTTGCACTCATGCTGACTTGTTGAGTCGACAAGCCTTTAATCTTGTTTGGGTTGAGTTCTTCATTGTTTCGGCCAAGGCCCAAACAGTTTAAGCTTTTGCCAGTAACTGCCAGTTGTTGAGTGGCGCCCTGTTGCCCTTTTTGTTGGCTGGCTTCTAAGATGGAGTTGGCCTCCAAAAGGACTCGCTTTGCTATCAGGGTGACGCTGGACAATTGGGTCAAGGCACAAAGAACGTGGCTGCGACTTTGTCTTGGGGGCATTTTGGGAGGGAAAAGCTGCGGAAGCCGTTGTGTTGTGTGTGCGAGGGGACCCTGTTTGAAAACTCACTCGTGTGATATAAGGGGCTCATTATTACACCTTGTTGTCCTCGAATCACAATGGTAAGTTGCTTTGTCAGTCCCCGACTACAGTGACTAACAATCGGCAAACGCATGGAACCCCAATTCTGGCTCACTTTTTCCTGGAAGGTCCAGAAATCTCTGAAAACTGCGAAAAAGGTTGGGGAAGCCGTTCGTTACTCACTCCCCATGTTAAAGATGTGGGGGTGTCTGAAAATGAGGGCGCCCTTACAATGGCAATGGTTTCCTTCAGGGTTTTGGGAATGAACCGGAAGGGGATTCCCCTAAAGGAAACCATAGGGGATGGTTTGTAGGGGTCATTCCAACTCCTGCCCTGCCTTTTGAACCAGCAAGTAAAAGACACTCCGCCAGATGATTCGCAGATCGTCTCCCCTAGGTAATTCCCGTCGCCGCTCTTCCGGGCCAAAGGCTGGGCGGGAAGGAAGCATCGCCTAAGCAAAACGGCGGAGAAAGCAACCAAAAACTCAACTGAAAGACATGACAACTTGGCGGTTCCCAGCAATTCCTTAAGTTTTTGGTGGTTTAGCGGGTTTAGTGGTTGGGTTTCCCAATTTCACCCACAAGGATTCACTTCTGAGACCCCCTTTGAAGCTTCTCCAGTATCCCTTCTTTTTGACTTCCAACTTACAAAGAGACCCTCCTCCTATGTTGCATTCCAGGGCAACTTGGGTGATTTTTTTGTGCGGAGTCCCTCGGCCCAAGGGGTCCCAGAAGAACTCTGTGGGAAGCACGTAGGGACAAAACATGTATAAGAATTTCGGGTCTGAGAACCAGGTCTTTGGAAGGGTGAATTGTGGTGGGGGACAGGCAATTTGTTTGTTTTGTTGCTTACCCCTTGAGATCGCTTACCCCATGATTTGACAGGCTCAACCGGAAACCTGGAAGATTGCAAATGGGCTACTCACTTCTTGATGGATTTGCAAATCCGAGCTTCAGTTTGTGTCCCCGCAAAAGTATAAGTCAAGTCCAACTGGAATTTAACCCCATAGGAGACTAGGGAAGTACCCGCCGGGCCGCCCTAAAGGATAGCACTTGGCATTCAGGAAGGCCTAGACCCTTAGTTGTGGGGCGTGGCTCCTGAAAACGAGACCAAACCAGACACTTTCGCCCGATTTGCAAGTTCCGAGTCAGGCAATCCATTCCTTGATGTTGTTTGGCAGGTCCGCTGACTGCAAGAGATCTGTTGATAGTGCCGTTGCCGATTTCTTGTTTTGCCCATGCTTTCTGGTCAGCCTTTTGAAAACCTACGGGCCCGGAGACAAACACGTACAGAGAGCAGAATGAATGACCTCGGGTTTAAGGATTTTTTTGGGTGCCCATGTTTAAAATTCTTTTCGAGGGGAACCACCCCAAGAGTCTGCCAGTTTGGTTTATTTGGGGCTGATTTGTTTTATCTGAGGTTCAGTAAGATTACAACAGCAGTCAATGGTCCATCTGTGCAGGTTTGCCCAGCATTTGTGCTGATTTATGTCCCTGAGAATCACGCGAGTGCAGATGTTCCGGTGGTGAAGGGAAATGTCTATGACTCTCAGGCCAGCCGCTTTGCTTTTCATCTCTTTTCCCGGATGGGGTCCGAACCAAACATGGCCCTGCGTGGTGGAAAGCTCCCCATGGCTTCACGCGTTCAAGTATCTCCGGTCCGGCCAATGGAGGTTGAGGGCCCGAGGCCTGGGGTCCGTGCAAGGAAACCTTCGGATTGGCGTTTTTGGCCTGGGGGCAGAAGAAATCTCAAGGAGGCTTGAAGCCTTCGTGCTGCGAGCTGAGGCTCAAGCTGATTCATGAGAGCTGAACCATGAGAGCGATTCCAGTGCAATTCAAACGCCTACAGCCGCCCAACATGAGATTAAGACATGAGAATATTTGTCCATACCATTGATTTCCGTTTAGTGTTGCAGGGGAAGCCATGAACATGGCGAAAAGATCGCCCTCGAACCCCAAGAGGCCCATTTGGCCCGACTAGGCAAACCTGAAGCCAACCAAGGCACAAGTCAAGGCCAAAATCTGTGGCCAACTAGTGCAACCTACGGCCAAAGCCCAGCCAAAGTCAAAAAGAAGTCACCCAACACGGAGGCCACCGAAAGGCCAAGGCCAAAGCCACCTGGGGTCCGCTCCTGGGCCACTGGCTCTCGGCCTTCGGGTTCCTTCGTTCCGACTCGGAATGCGGAGCGTGGTGCTGGCCGCGGCTGCGCGCACCCCCATGGGCTCCTTTGGGGGGCAGCTGTCCCAGGCCTTCGTTGGCCGAAAGCCGACTCGGACGTTCCGCTTAGCGACCCTCCGACTGGACGGTGTTTCTCGGGGTCATTCCATGTCTCGTTCCCTGCTGAGCACCGCGCATTGAATCTAATGATCGGCTCCCAGCCATCCGGTTCGATAGGTTTTGTGGTTTTGAGGGAGCATGGTGATTGTGTCCATGAAAAAACCTACTAAGAGTTGCACGTTCCTTAACATGTTTACAGGTTTTGAGGGAGTTTAGTGATAGTTTACATGAACATCTACTAAAAGTTAAACTTTCAGCAGGGGATTTGAGGGCAGCCCAGTTAGTACGGAGGTTATAGGCATGGTTATAACTAGGGTAACTGGGGTTGGCCCCCTTATAGCCAGGGTTATAGCCCTAGCCTACTAAGGAAGTTGAATGAATCCTGTTCAGCTTGGTCCGACTTTCTGGGTCCAAGGCTGACCCGTTTCATTCTTCCCACTTTGTTTGCACTGTTTTTGTCCAACTGGAAGCTTCGGACTCCCTGCCCAGATGAAGCACCCTTTAGCTGCCCACAGGGGCTGCTGTGGGGGATGCCTGGGCGTTTTTCTGTTTGCGCAGGATGGGGCGCAAACGCCGCCCTTCGCCAATGCTAACCAACCCAACCCTACAGTGGATGGACGAAATCCTGCACCACCTAAGGCCTGGAATGACTCATTTCAACAATGGTTTCATGTCGGAACCGGTTTCACAACCATCCACTGGAAACCCTCGACCCCCAAACCCTAGAACCCCAAACCCTAGACTCCCAAACCCTAGACCTCAAAACCCCGAACCAGCCCTATACCAACCCTACACCCTTTACAGGGGCATTGTACTTAGCAGGTGGTCAAGTAAGCCTGGTTAAAACCCGCTGAACGGAGACTTACAACCATGGCTTTGGTGGGTTAAATCCAATCCATGGAGATGGCCCACTTACCTGACGTAAAATCCCCCCCTACTCTGGATGGACGAAATCCTGCACCGCCTGAGAAACCCTGGACTGATGATTCCCCTGTACATACCGACCAACAGGTTTCAAAGTGCAGGATACTGTCCATCCATAGTATGGACCCCCAAACCCCAACGCTCGGATGCAGTCGCAAGGTGCCGGTGCAGCGTTTGGGGGGCTTCGCCATGGGCGCGGCGCTGCGGCGCGCTGGGGTGGAGCCACAGGAGCCAGTGATTTGTTTGCTCTTCTGGCTCCAAGCTCCGAATTTCTTTATCTTGCTGGTGCGATAGGTACGGAATGTGGGAATGAACCTTGCTGGGAACCAGAAGGAAGCCCACCGGTCATTTCTTGGGCCCGGCGCAAACTGTGGGCACTTGAAACACCTACTCCAGGGTGAATGTAGATGGCGCAATGCCCTTCATGTCGGGCAGGTAAAGAGGATGACTATTCTGAACCTACCGGATCATTTCCAGAGAGAAGCAAACTAGAAAATTGAATGAATGAACTAATATCGACGAAATGACAAAATCCAGAGAGAATCCTGAAGCAAACTAGGAATGGGGGCTGTCCACATGACAACAAGTAAAGCCACAACCAGGAAAGTAGACCCCACAATGACCATGGATAATTTGTCATCTTTTTTGGTGGTTTCCCCACTGGTCACCGCATTTGTATCGAGGACCTTTTGATCAACCCCGCAGAACGACCATTGCAAAGCCACCAGGAAATCTGATTCTTCAGCTCAAGGAAGTGGAGATGGTGCTGATGGGCCACGCGCTGCCCGGCGCCTGCGGCCTAAACCCCACCAAGCGCGCCGCGATGCTCGCGGAGATCCCGGCGAGCCTTGCTCGAAGCGCCGCGTTTGGTCCTGGCGGCAGCACGCACTCTGCTTGCTGGCGTGAGTCCGGCAGGGAATGAGAAATGGAATGACCCCGAGAAAAACCATCCAATTGGTAAGGGAATCCCCTTCCGGTTCATTCTCTCATTCCCGACTACTGAGCTCCAGCAAATTTGCTTTTTCTTGGGCCCACTACTGTGTATCTGCGTGTTCTTGAGGGTTCTTTAATTCAGACAGGTGAATTAGAGCAAGTGCAGACGTACACAATAAGGGGGTTTCACAAAATAGTCTCGCTGCCTGAGTATCTGGTTGCTCCCGGTCGCTGTTCGGAAAGACTCGCCTTAGTGCCAAACAGAGAGCCACCACAATGGTGCTGGTCAACCAACTCAGAAAGCGATTCACCTTTTTTCTAATGTAAGGTTCACGTGGACCAGACAAGCGTATTTATGCTGGGGGGCAAGTATTTGAGGTAGTAAATGGGATGCCACAGATTGCATAAAGAAATGGCAGGCGTGGCTTTCTGATGTTCCGGTGTTTTCAAAGTTGGGAACCCTAGATATCTTACGTGCTTCCTTTGCTGGTTTAACAGTCACATGTGGGACGTTCCTAGTTTGCGCTTCCGGTGGTTAAGGTGATCATGCCAGAGGGCGTACACGGGAGCTTTGAGCCTCTAACGCTGCTGGCTTGCCTTTGATTTCCTTTCCGAACCAAGGGGCTAAATAGTTTGAGTGGGGGGTGAAGGGGCCAAACAAATAGAATAGGGTTGCGCGGTGCTTTTACACCAAGTTGAATCATAATTCTATTAGAGTGTGCCGATTTATTGGCTCCTTGCACCACCCGAAGAAAGCATGGCCGAGGGTCAAACAGTTCCACGCTCTCAGGAACGTCGACTGCACCAGCGTCAACAAGGCCCGGTGAAAGAAAAATAGGTAATCCGCCCCAGGCAGGTACTGGATCCTTTATCTAGGCTCTCGTCCAAACCTGGTCTGAGCAAATTATTTGCCGTGTACTTCAGGTGTGCGCCAATTGTTGTATGCATTCTGCTAGAGCAAAATCCAACCTTTACCCTTTGAGGTATCCTGGGATATGATATGCCAACCAACAACCATGATTACAACAATTTGTTTTTTAGGAGGGTGGGTCTGACCCCTGAAATTTGCAGTATGCAAAACACGCAATCCGATTGCTGTTCTTGCTCAATTGTTTCTTTGGGGGTGCCCAACCAACGAACTTGCTTGTGTTCATTCTTCTTGGAGCTTGCCCAGGCATAAGCCATGAGACAAGGTCCTCCTGAATACGTGATATAAGTCCAATTCCTTGAAACTGCAGGGTGCAGAGGTCCGCAAACGTCCAAACCACGACCCAAACCCCACGGCTCCCCAAACGGCCGCCTTGGTATGGAGAAATTGTCCGTGCGTTGAGGAACTAGTTGATGGCTCCATGAAGGATAATCTTGACATCCGTGAATATGCAAAATCAGTACCAGCTTTTAAGACATTCGAAAGAAAAGAGGATGGTCCAACAGAATCAGTTTTTTGTTGGGTGAATTTGTCCAGGATAGTCTTTTTTCGTCTAAGGAGCTGCTCTACGTAAGGGCGGCTCAAATTGTGCATAGTTGGTTGCTGCAGAAACCGGATAATTCAGGAGCCGACGCATATGGTTCATCCTTTTGCAATGCTATATATTTTTTAGGGTGAAGCTGGTGAACATCAACGCTTTGCTCACAGGAAAGGACCCCAAAGCCGCCATGCATTTTGCCTCGTTCAACAAACACGAGCGCTATGCTACGTAGAAATACTTGGTGACTGTTTCGACAGCTGTGCGGCGATTGGGAAAGACATGTCACACTAACCCGTGCCAAAAGCAGTGTTTTGGGGGGGGGCAATTTTCTTTACATATTCTTTGGGGGTAGTGATCTGGGGGTAGTCATTTGAGTCTTCGACAGCGGGTGCTTCCAGTTGCCATTGTAGCAGGTAACCGCTGCGGGTTCTCTCCTCCAAGTTTTGCATCATGGTTTTCCCTGGTACTCGACCTATTCCTATCTGGAAGCATTGGGTGAGATGAAACCGGAGAAATCAATTTATAGGCGATTTCCACGTCGAGCCTGATTCTTTTGGATGGATTTTAGAGATACTTCCCCATGCCATCCCCAAGGTATACCCTCCCTCCAGCCATGGAAGCTGACAGGCGGGTTTTGGAAGACTACTTTCCTTTTGGGGGACTCCTCTGTCCACTGATTGTCGGAAAAAACGGCAAAGAACATAAGCCCAGGTAGCATCGCCAACAGCACTGGAACCCTTCAGAACCCTCCCAGGCTGCCCCAAACCACCCTTATCGCCTACCCCCTGTCCAGCCCATAGCCTTCCAGCTCTTGGAGAATTAGGTCGCCCATATTTTAGGCTGGGCTATACCCGAAGCAATCTCCAAACGTTTTTTCCCCTTTTCCGACCAGCATACGGAGATCCCCAAAGATCCCCCGGCGCGGATCCCTCGCGGCTCCCCTCGCTTCCATCGGCCGCTTTCCCCGGCCGCTCGGCGCTCTCGGAGGCCTGCGCCTCGGGCTTGAAGGCGGTGACGCTGGCGGCGCAGAGCATCGCCATGGGGGAGGTGGACGTGGCGCCGCGGCGCCGAGTTGTTCGGCGGGCGGGGGCAGAGGACGTGCCGGAAAAAGCCTCGGGCGATGTTTGGCGGATCCGTGGGAAAGATGAGGTTCAATATGGTGGCTGAAAGGGGGTGCGCCCCAAAAAGTCTAATGAAATTTGAGGACCCAGCAACTTTAGGGCTATGCTTTTCCGAATTGGGCGCACTAACTTTTGCAGAGGGGTCAACAGAAACCAAGAAACTCACTTTCTGAGTTCCTGGACTTTATATATGTTTGGTAAATCAACCGTTCGGACTTTTTTGGGCCAATCCACTCACCTAGTGAGAAAATGGTTTGTAGCCTTCTTGGCTTCCCTTGAAACACCAACCAAATTGCAGCCCCTATTTTTTGACCAAATCATAGAGTTCATCCAGGATGAAGCCCTTCTCATAAAAGTTCCTTCTTTTCTGTTGGTGAAATGGCACAATTTGCGCTAGTATATGGTAAGGGCCCAACTAGTAAGTAGTTAGGGGGTTGCAGGAGCGCAACACCAATCCAACTGACCATGGGATAATGATGTAATTGTTTAGCTTCTTGTATTTAGTTTCCTTGTCACTGCCAGACTTCACTATCCATGTTTAAGGGATTTGTGGTCTCAAGCTTTCAGGCAACGCAACATAGGGTCTCAGTTTATAACTGCATCATTTTTCGGCTGGTTTCTGGGTGCACCGTTTCCACTGGTTTGTTTCGGGTTGTGCAGTTGTGCTCCATGTTTGCCTCAAATCCATTTGGGCAAGTTGGAACAAGCAATTCGGGAGGGAAACAAGCGAAAGCACGCGATGAAGGTCCTTTACGGTGGGGCTCCCTGATTTCCGGCTTGACATTGCAGTATTATGTGCAGATAGTACCCTGCTGATTGGTTTTAACAGCACCTTTGGGCAGGGGGAATTTCAGAACCATTCCAGTTTGCATGTGCAACCTTACGTGTTCGTCACGGCCCTACATTTCCCCTTTAGGGGTTCCCTCGTTTAGAAGCAACCCTTCTCCAAACTGGGTGGTTCGAATTATCGTAACTAGTTGCCAATTTCAAGCGAGTCTCTCTTTGGGGGGATGTTCCAAGGGGACGCGGAAGGGAACTCTGAAGCCCGCTCGCAAAACTCATGAAGCCAAAGTGTGGACGGATTGACACAACTGGCACCAGTCTGGCAGGTTGATAGGGTGTGCGCGAGCTGCACATAGACACTTGAGGTATATATTTCACTCCCTCAGTTCCTGGACTGTAAGCGTTTTTGGGAGCACCGTTTGAGTGGCAACCCAAGTTTGCACTTGTTGGCCAGTCCCCTCAAGAAATGAGACAAGCACTTTAAACTTTTGCGGGACAAGGGACTTTTCAGGTCTCACTCAACCAGCATGGTTCTCCAACCAGTTGTTCAGTGTCACTCTCTAAATCTCTCTGTGTTTGGTGAGCTCCCCACTCAAAATGGCCAAAACGGTGAAGGAACAAACTGAGACCCTAGCTTCCGGCTTTGCGCCGACCCAGGGCAAGAGTCCCTTTTGGATGCCCGGTTTCACATACCGACACAAGTCCCAGGGTCCTATGCCTACCTTGTGGCGCAAAAGGCGTAGTTGCCACCCGAAAGCGTACAATGAGCCAAGGAGAAACCATGAATAAACAAAAAAGGTCTGGGTGGGCTTATGTCAGGCTGGTGAAATATTATAATTCACCCAGATAATTAAGGTCTTAGGGGGTTGGTAGGTGAGAGCCGTTGGAGGTCCATGACCTGGGAGGTGTGCCAAACTTGTCTCGCTTCTTGGCAAGAGGACCCAGGAGATCAGGAGGACCACCCACGCTAGAGATCCTGCCCAACCCTTGAATCCGTTTCAGGGCTAAGGCTTGACAATTGTCATGCTAATTGCGGGGGATGCCCTAAATTTTGCGGGTAAACTAGCCATACTCAAGCACCAGACCACGGTAAGTTGCGGTGAGTCAAAAGTGTTTCCCTGTTCCCTTACTTGCAATATCTAGGACATCCACCGAACGTCTTTGCCTTTGACTAAAGCGATGGAGCTAGAGAAAGACAGTCCAGGTGGGGGTTCAACCTTGACCGAGACTTAGCGTTGCTCCGAGCCATTCTTGAAGATTTGTACGATTCAAACCCCTCTTCCCTCAACCCTACCGGTTCCTCCCAAAAAGAAACCAGGGTCAGGGCAAGGTTTGCAACAGAGGGCGATTCAATTCCGTGTTGAACAGCCACCAAACTCTTTAAATTCAATCTCCCTTTAGCTTCCCTTTGAAGGAATTGGACCAGGGGGTTGTTGTTTAAACACGTTGTGACCC